CCCCGCCCCAGGCTCACACCGGCTCTTCGAAGGCGGACATTCCTGCAACCCAAACCCCAGCACGGCGCGGCCGACACACCAACCTTTCTTTTCCTGGGGATGGGCTCGTCGAAGAGCAGGTTGCTGGCCTCCGCCTCGTCAATGCCGTCGTCGGGGGGCGGCGGCGGCGGCGCGGGGCTGCGGAAGGGCTTGAAGCTGTCGGCGGACAGCGGCGGCGACGGCGTGGACGGGTTGGACTGGTCGCTGGGGGCGCTCCAGCTCCAGTAGCCGCTGCTGCTACTGCTGGAAGGCACGCCTCCTCCCTCCTTCCAGGATCCGCTGAGGCCCTCTGTGCGTGCACACAAACACAGCGTCAGGGCGAGCTCGGGCTGCACCCGGGGGTGGGGCGGGGGCCACGGGGGCCACGGGGGCCTTGATGCTATGCTCTTGCTTAGCATCTGCATCCATGCTGATGCATAGCAAAGTGCTTGCAGCCCACTCGACGTTTTGCAACGGTTGGGGATGTAAGATGTACTCTGAACCTCAAAAAAAAAAAATCGTGTTGCTTTGTAGTTTATAAACATTTAGCTATTTTAATCACACAGCAGGTTTTTCTCACAGGTTTCTGATGTGTGTTGTTTTCTTCAACACTAGTTTCTCAGGATGACAGTGGAGATTATATGAAAATAAGAAAAAAGATGTTTTTGTTTACTAAGTTTGGGGAGCTCTTGCCTTTCTAAGAAAGAAATCATTGGCGGCAGTCTTCCCCCACTCCCCATCCCCTATTTTAGCTTTTCAAAAGAAATTTCTCATAGTTCTGTGATCCTTGCATTCCGTTTATAGAAAAAGTTAGTCTAGGATTTAAGAATCGAAGAGAATGATTTCCAGATAGTTACCTACGGCCATCTACCTTATCATAACAGCTGCTTATTCTAACAAATAACAGGGCCTTACATTTGGTGTTTTACCTCTCATGGAGCGCCTTCACACAGTCTCGTGCATTCTCACAACATCTGTCTCTCAGAGTAAGGACTGTCATGCCTATTTTACAGGCGGAGATCGTGAGGCACCTAGAAGTTAAGTGACTTGCGGCATGACTAGTATGTAACTCTGGTGGGTGCCAGACCCAAACCCTTGTCTACCCATTGGTCTTTTTCATGCATGTGGGTCCTGTGTTGTAAGCAGCCTCCTTTGTCTCCAGCAAAACTGAGATCAGAGGAGAATTTATTGGTAATAATTACTGGTAAGACTGGTGTTGAATTTTACCTTTCCACTTGTGGGGAAACATTATGAAATGTTTGCTAGTGTAGAGAGATCTTTCCCCAGTTAGAATGTCTTTGGGGGGAAGGGGGCTCTTTTAATCACTGAAGATTTGCTTTACCTTTCAAGCTGCCCAATCTTAATGAGCATTTGTATAAATTCTACTTTCTTTTTAAAGGATAATTTCTCCTACATATTTATGTACATTTTGAATATATTACAACTATATTCTAAGTACAATGGGGAAGAAGTCTCAAAATGCCTCATTAAAAAAATGTTGCTCACATCTCTGTAATTACTAATGAGGGCAAATGGTAGAATAGCATTCAAGGAGAAATTTCTAAACTACCTTCACATAATTATGGATTGCTAGCATATTCCTCAACTATGTCATATGAAAAGTTCACTTAGTGGACTGAAGTCTGAAGTTGAAATAGCAGGAGTAAGTTACCCATCTCATTAAAGCAAGGCTCTAACAGAATCCAGTGGTCATTTATGCAGGCTCACACCTTGCCAGCCTCAGCAAAAACCAAATTAGCATCTCACCCCTGCAGTCTACGCAGCGACTGATGCACTGACCGGACCCGAGTCGCCTACTGTAAATAAGAAAGCTCCATTCAATACAACACGACCTCAAGAGGAGCCTATAAGACCTTAGGTAATATCACCTGGCGTGACAGACTCACTTGGCAGGCTTATGAGGCTTATAAATATATTGCAGCAAGCACTTGTAAAATAAAATAAGTTCATGGTGCTAGATGTGTCATCGGGCTAGGTATGAGGAATTGAATTTATTTTGAAAACCAACTATTATTACAGTGTGGTTACATTGCTTCATGTCAATGCCAAAAGTTAATTTGCTTACTTGTGAATGACCTTTCCTTTAGAAACACTATTTAAACAGAAGGACAATGTGATATAGAAATAAACTTATCAGAAAAAAGTCAGAGTGTTTTTAGAGAACAGTATCTTCTTTTCTTAAAAAAATATTTGCCAAAATGTAGACACACACCGTTGGTCTCTTACTCTCTTTGCACACCCACATCCAGACAAAACGATCCTTTTCAGACACAGAAAAGGAACACAACAGTTTTCAAAAACTCACTGACATACAGTAATTCTGGATATAATCTTTATTTCTAAAAAAGTTATTAATTCCTTCATTTTCATAAACTGCTTTCCCTTTTTAAAAATTTGCTTCCTGTTGCAGACTAAATGAGAGATAATAGACCATTTGGGATTATTAGTTGGGTAGTTCTTTTTTAAATCGTAACAAACACTGAATTACTTTCTTTGTAACTATGCTAACAAAAGATTTCATTGAAGAAGCGAAAAGTTTATTTTGATTCTAACCTTTTAACACGAAGAACATTAAAGATGTTCTCAATTAAAAAAGAACACAATGGTAAAAATGATGATTACAGCAAAAAATACTTTCTCTCCTCTGCGATTCCTTTTTCCTATGATGGGCTTCGGGGATGCCTTCAGTTTTGTGTTTGCTGTAATAGTTCTTCAGCGGCATTGCCAAGCTGAGAAAGGTAAGTCAGGGTAACTGTTCGCCAAGAAGCCCAGAGAAGAAGGTCAGGTCATTCAACAGGGGTGGTCAGGCTCATTTCAAGAGCACCTTATGCCCCAGTTGGATTGGACTAAGTGCGGGTGAGGACTCACTGGATGTTCACCATATTTAATACCTCAGGCTGATAATCAAATGATGTGTGAACCATAGCTCAGGCCCATAATTGACTAGGCTGGCTTTGAAGAGAAGGTTTCATTCAGTGGTCTCAGTGTACTACATTTCAGTGACCAGGGGTGGTCCACTGGGAATGTTCTTGCCAAAACCACCAGTGACCTTGTACTTGATGCAGAATTCCATCTTTCGCATGACTGTCCTTCTGTAGCCTCAGAGGTTCTCCTTGAAACATGCTTTTCCCTTGGCTTGCATGAACCACACTCTCCTGGTTCTCCTCTACACCTCTGGTGACCCCCTCAGGTCTCCTCAGGCTTTTTTCCCTCTGCTGGTCCCTTAGAGGATGACAGGCCTTACCATCCCCCTTAGCTACCTTCTCATCATACTCTACCTCTACACAGTCCCCTTAAAGTGATCTCATCTCTTCACCTGGCTTTGCAATGATGCCTTCCAGTCCCGCATCACCAGCCCAGGTCTCTCTCCTGGCTTGTACCCAAATCTCCACCAGACAGAGACCCTTTGAAAAGTTCTGCCTACTAAACATGTCCCAAATTGGACCCTCATCTTTTTCAGCAACCCTACCTCTTGCCCTAACAGTCACCCAAAGATCTATGTCCCTGCTCTGCTCCCCATCTTGGGGAGGGGCCTCCTTCTGAAGCACACGGACGGCCTGGAAGTTACCCTTGTCACTCCCTCTCCTTCATCTTCTCTGTTCATCACCATGTCCTGTCGATTCTGCCTTCTCCACGTTTCTCAGTTATGTCCTCCTCATCCCCACTGTGACCACCAAGGTCCAGAACACCCATATGGTTGTGTTTTTTTGTATTTGCCTGTAATCCTGAAAATAATGTTCCAGCCTATCACTTAATAGCTGTCCTATAGCCTCAGATTAATGTCCAAACTCCTAGCCAGGAATACACGGCTTCCGTTGATCGCTACTGGGTCAAGCTCTCTAACTTCATCTCTGCTGCCCTCTTGATTTATCCTATTGAATTATATGCGCCAATATTATATCATGACTAAGATAGCAGATTTGGAATCAGAAAGATATGGAATGGAATTTCAGCTCTGCTATTTACAAATCAGTTAATCCTCATGTGCCTCGGTTTACTCATCTGTAAAACAGTGATAATAACATAGAGTTGTTGTGAGAATTATATGAGATGAAGCAAGCTTAGTACTCAGCATATAATAAGTGCTGAATAAATGCTAGCCATTAATATGATTGATAGTTTTTTTTCCCCCATAGGAATTGTACAATATGAATGATTGAGTATGCATTGTTTTCAAACCATCTAGTATGGTATCTAATAAATATATATCGAATGAATGAATGGACTGCATACTTCTATTTGATTAATATTATTATTCTATTAGGATCATACTTTTTCAAAATATTTAATATTCAGAGTCCTTTGATCCAACTACCTGTCCAATTGAACAGAAATAATGCTGGTGAAAATAACTTCATTGGACCAACCTCCATTTACCTGGGAAAAAAGAAGCACAAGCACTTTACGATGTGTTCTGGAAAGGTGCTGGAGCTCAGTAAACGTGAGCTGAATGGATGGATGTATGAATGAGATGCTGGGAGGTCTCTGGGAAGATGAGGAGGAAGATGATAGCTGTGAGGTCTCCATTTCTTCCACAGTTCTCCTTGCTTTCTGCTAATGGGTGGCGGTTAAACTCTTCACTGTGTGTGTGATAGAAATGAGATCCCTCAAAGAAAGGCTCTGCTCTTGGTGTCAGGGGGCCCTCCCCTAGGCCCCATGGCCCAGGCTTACCATTCGGCCGCACGGGTGGGCTTCGAACCAAAGGGCTGGTGGACAAGCTGGTTAGTACCATTGCTGCTGTTACCTTGTCCATGTCCAGTTCCTCTGAAGATTTCCTGTAAAACAAGGAGGGGACATTGTTACTTGTGCTCACTCCATGTCTCTTGTGGTCTATTATGGGCCCTGCGGCCCACACGTACCATGTACCACATGCTACTGTATACACTGACTCTTTAACTTCGTCCCATAAAATCCAAACTTTTGTCGGCTTTATTGTATAGATCAGGAATTCTGCGGAGGTCCAGAGGGTAAGTGATCCAGTCGCAGTCCTATAGTAGGAGGAAGGGAAGGATTCATTCACTGGATAGTCACCTAACAAGTGTTTATTGAGAGTGTACTCTAGGTTAGACCTTGTTCTAGGCACAGGCAACGCCTGGTGACCAACAGACAAGGCCGGTCGGGAGAAACACAGTTATCAGGAAACAAACAAAAAGGAACAGACTAATTTCTGATGGTGACAAGTGCTGTGGAGTGTCTAAACAGGTTGGCATGACAGTGATTGAGGGTGGTTGCATGTAAGGTGGTCAGGGAAGGTTTCTCTAGGAGGTGACATCTGAGGTGAAGTGTGAAGGGGGGACAATCAGTTCTTTTTCTTTTTTTTTTTTT